TTTAAACATTTTGCTCCATATAAGATAATGGACTGTGCAGTGGAGTGGGGCTCCATGCCTTTCCTGCAACACAGGCTGATCCTTTCTGTATCAATCAGAGTTCAATAAAAGAAGTAAATTACTAGAATATACGCATGGAATATATATGGATTTATTATTGCAATTTGGCCTTAATCAATTGTGGGAGCTAATTAGGCAATCTCTATAAGTTTTTTCACCCAATACTGGAACTTGAAATCCATAGGACGGACAAATGGGAAGAGAAGATGGATATAAAGAGGGAAGATCAAGAGCAAGCTGGAGCCTCCAGGCACAAGCCAGAGTCTTATTAGGATAAACTGAAGTCCTGTCAGGTTGTGTCATTTCTGAACTAGGTGATATGAGGACTAAGGGAAGAGTAAAGAAGTATCACACTGTAAAGATGAATAAGCCTCTTAACAACAACGTGTGAGCTACAAAGTGGCTTCAGATTCCCTTCCACTTCCAAATTTCCCAATAATATCTCTTGTAGCCCACTATAACTGGAAACGTATAATAACAGTAATTTGGGGAAATGTAATTCATCCTGGCCAAGGTGATGCATTAAAAAAAACCCCACGCCATCTCCAACTTCTACACCCCAAGGTAAGTCCTTTTGAGTCTCCTCCAACCCTGCCCTTAATGTTCTCATATGTGCCCAGTTTCATGGAAAAGAACATTGGAATGAGTGTGAACTTCACTTGTGTCTGGGGATCCCAGGAGTTCTATACTATTATGCTAGCTCACACTTGGCTTTGTCATTCTTTGTCATTAGTTCATCCAGCATTTTCTCTTTGTGAAGTTGGGTGTGATGTAGTTTCCAGATTTCTATACCCTAGGAAGAAGCAGAACTGCCAGATATTATCTCACTACTTCTCAAATTCAGAAGTCTTGGATATGATGTCAAATTTTTTAAAATATATTTCTTCCTCATTTTTATATCTCCCATATAAAGACTCCCTGGGGTCATCTTTTCCATCGGATACAAATTTGGGTTTGAAACATTTTTCAGAATGGTGTGTGATGTAAACCTGCTTTCTTTTAAATAAGGAAGAATCACAACATCTATAAGACAGTGTAGGGAAGACTTAGATTAACAACAGTTCATCTGAGAAAAAACATGTATGACGTTTCAAGTTGAATACAAACTAAATACAAGAAGACAACCTGATGTGACTGGGAAAATAAACCAATGCATTCTTCAGTTATTTTAACTGAAGAATATTTTCAGTAGAAGATATTGAAAATTGGGAAAAAGATAAAGAACGGGCAGACAACAGATCTAAAACAATGCCTTTGAAAGAATAATTGTAGTAACTAAGGATATTATATTTGGAGAAGAATAGGTTTGGGAGACTCTCAGATATCTGAGGACTGCCATATGGAAGATAGGGCAGAATATTTTGTGTAATCCCATAGAAGATAAAAATGACCAAAGGATAGGACTTACAATGAGGCAAATGTTGATTCAATATAAGAAAGAACTAAAAATAATCAATTGGTGGTCACTTCCATGAGAATCCTTGGAATGTGGAGCTGGAAGGGACAGGTAAGTAGTGGATCATTGGTTCCAAATCTGCCTGCACAGTAGCGTCACCTGGGAGCTAATCAAATGTACTAATGTCAGGACACTACATCCCAGAGAACCTGATTTAGTAGATATAAGATTGGACTTGGGCATTAGCATTTTTTAAAATCTTCCCAGATAAATCTAATGTACTAACAAGGTCAAGACTCTGTTGACCAGATGGTCTCTAGGGTCCAACAAAATTCTCCAATTCTGGGATATTTTCATGAGACTGAATTTCTATTTTAAAGATGGAAAGATAATAAAATTGCATTCTTTTACTATAATCATCTTCTGAGGTTAGCAAGCATAAAGATAAATCAATAAAACTACCTTTCTCTGGCCCATTTTCTGATGTTGTCTTATTCCAGAACTGTGCTTCCATTTACTTAACTGAGTAACAATTGCTGCTCCAATTCATCCAATTCTCTAGCTCTTAATGGCTGATGCAATCCTGTCTTTTCTTTATCCCTGTGCTCTTCAGCCATGCGCTTTCTTGTTTTATATATTCTTTTGAAGAATACTATTTCTCTGGCCCATTGTACCTATACTAACACCATTCTATATGGCTGAATCCTTAACCACTAAGCTTTTCCAAACTTTCATTTCTGTGTCAGTCATAAATGCCTTTAAGTTGAGCAAACAAGGATACTTCTAGAAGATAGCTCTAGTGATAAAGACATTTTTCCCCATCTATAATGAAGATTTTTAGTGGCTTTACAAAATTTTACCCAAATACCCAACATTTTGACTATTGTCAATAAGGCCCTAATGATCTACCATCTCAATTATGCTCTGTAATTATCTCCTGCTACTCTCCCCATCATTTACTCTACTCTCAGTCTATGGATTTTCTTGCTTTCCCCCTTACTTACCAACAACACTCTTTCTCTCCAGGATCACTGCTCATGTTCCCTCCGACTTCTGCACTCTTACTAGAGAGCTACATAATATTCTCCCACTCTTTCTTTTTTAACCAAATATCACTGCATCAGACATGCCATCCTTAAGCAACCTAACTCTCTTACTTTTCTATATTTCCTTTCATAACACTTATTACTTCATGCCATAATTTTAATTCATTTGCCTGTTTCTTTCCATCTTCCTCCAAATAATATGTAAGCTCCATGAGGGCAAAGACTCAGTTTGTTTTGATTACTGGTTTATTCCCAGTGTTTATATCAGTGTCTCACACATAATAGGTGCTCAGTAAATATTTGTTGAATGAATAAATGAAAATATGGATAATTGGAAAATTTCATTCCCGGAGATTACTGTTTGCCAGTCAATCTAGGATCGGTGGTAGAACTAAGTCTGGAGAGTCCAGGACTTCTGCTTCTCTGTGCACCGAGGCCACTGGTTGCAGAGAGAAGAGTCAATATAAGGAGAGGTAAAGGGATTTGAGAAGAGTGGAGATTTAGATTTTCATTCTTTTAGTGATGGCTGTAAAAATGGGTACTAGTTAATTTAACGCATAATGGAATACACAAGAGAGCCATCATGGACAAATATGGAGGCATGCAAGACTACAAGTAATAAAATGTAATTTCCAGACCATGTATAACAAAGGTGCATGCTGTGCATTGTTATACTTTCAAGGTAGAATATTATCTTGATTTTTACAAAGTATTTCCTCAAAGCAATAAACATAGTAATTCAATTATCAGTTCCATTTAATTACTGGGTAATATACTTAATTGATATACTCTAATTTCAATCCTGTTAAATGTAACAAATCTCTGGTGTGAAATAATTTTAATAGTCAACATAAAAATAGCGATCACATGAGTGTAATTTTATATTCTGCATAGATCTTACAGCTTAGCTCAACCTATAATTAAAGCTTACATTACAAATATGAATGGTTTGTATACATAAGTGGTTTGAGTTTAAAACAGCTGCCCTTACAAATACATTGTAAAGAAACATTTATCACATGAACTTGGTTTCAAATTTCTCTGGAGGATACATTTGAAAAAAAAAATGTTTGAGCCAACAGAAGTCTCCATCTATTTATGGAATTTTCAAACTGCTGCTGTACACGTAAGGCATTTACCAATGCTAGTTAACCCCTGTTAACTGTTGTCCTAATCCTTTCCATACCCCTATGTTGACAGCACAAAAATCTATCTTAGTCAAATTCCTTGCTATTCTTTGTATAGTAAAGTCTTATATCAACTCTAAAAGGAGTCAATATAAATCTGAATTACTTGTTTTCACTCATCACCAAATTTTAAGTTGGAATGATAATGAAAATTTGTATGTACATAAAGGAAATTGATATGGACAAAGAATTTACATAATCAAATAGCCCTGAGTATATCTAAGTCAGGCATACTTGAAAATGCAATACAATGGTTTAGTTAAATAACCACAGTAGAAAGAAGAAGGAGAAGAGAAAGATGAGAGACCTTGAAAAGATTAGCTCTCATTGTACTTTGGAACAAAAATGTAGGTGGGAAGGTAAATTAGACCAAATCCAGGGAGAAAATATTAAAGCCATGACTTCATTTTAAAATAATAAAATATAAACTTTCCTAAAACTTTAAGTTTATTTTATAGTAACTATTTTGCCAAAATTGTCATAGCTGGAGAGAAAGAGAGAGAGAAAGAGATACATAGATTTACATACATCATGTTGATAATAGGGCAGAAAAGAGTCAGTTGGAAGGCATAAAACTAGACACCTATTTTAAGCCCTATTGCAACTTTAACTTTTCTCAGTCTCTTTATCTGTAACATGGTATTAATATTATCCGTTCTACATACGTCCCAAGGTTATTTTTAGAGTTCAGTGGAATTGAATAAGGAAAGCCTTTATGGCTGTAAAGTCATGAGGAGGCCAGTGAGCTAGCTGTTTAGTTTTCTGTCTCTCATGATCCATCTCGTTTTGACTGATGGGCATGGGGAATCAAATTTTACGAAAAGCAGGACGGTGTCTTGGCAACAAACATGGCTTTAACCACGACATTGTCTTCTCTCATGGTCCATGGTGGATTCTAGCATTCACATATCAGCGCCAGTCCCCAGCCATTTAATTCTTTCCAGGATATATTAGATATTTTTCTTCAAATCATTTTCTAAGCCATTTTCAGGGTTCTCAAGAAGAAGATACCTTACGTCCTATGAATTGCTATGCATTGATTTCTTTTAATAAATAGACTTTAGTTTTAGAGCAGTTTTAGGTTTGTAGAAAGTACAGAGTTTTCATATACTTTCCCACACACATTTTCCCCTACTATTAATATCTTGCATTAGTGTAGTACATTTGTTATAATGGAGAAACCAATATTGATACATTATTATTAACTAAGGTCCATAGTTTATATTAGAGTTCCTTCCTGGTATTGTACATCCTGTGGGTTTTGACAAATGTATAAAGATGTGTATCCGCCATTATATTATCACCCAGAAGAGTTTAACTGCCCTAAAAATCCTCTATGCTCCACCTATTCATCCCTCCCATCTTCCTCCTCCCCTGACAACCACTTATCCTTTTACTGTTTCTGTAGTTTTGCCTTTTCCAGAATGTCACATAGTTGGAATTATACTGTATGTAGCCTCTTCAAATTGTTGGGTTTTGTTTTTTTTTTTTTTTTTTTTTACCTAGCAATGTACATTTAAGTTTCCTCTATGTCTTGTTCTGGCTTGGGAGCTCATTTCCTTTTAGCACTGAATAATATTCTATTGTATGGATATAAAAGTTTGTTTGTCCATTCACCTTTTGAAGGGTATCTCGGTTGCTTCCAGTTTTTGGCAATTATGAATAAATAAAGCTGCTATAAAAGTTCATGTGCAGATTTTTTGTGGACATAGTTTTATAATATATTTGGGTAAATACCAAAGGATATGATTGCTGGATCATATAATAAGAGTACGTTTTGTAAGAAACTGTCAAACTGTGTTCCAAAGTGACTGTACCACACCCTCCACCAAAGAGTAAGAGTTCCTTTTGCTCTATATTCTCATTAGTACTTGGTGTTGTCAGTGTTTTGGATTGAAGCCATTCTAACAGGTGTGTAGTGGTATCTCATTGTTGTTTTAATTTTCAATTCATTAATGAGATATGATGTTGAGGACCTATTTATATACATGATTGCCACCTGTATATCTTTGGTGAGGTGTTTTGCCCATTTTTAAATTGGGTTGTTTTCTTATTTTTGAGTTTTAAGAGTTCTTTGTATATTTTGAATAGCAGTACTTTATCAGATATGTCTTTTGTAAATATTTTCTCAGTCTATGGCTTATATTTTTAATCTCTTAATTCATTAAATTTTTATTCAGGGAAAGCACTGTCCTCTAAGTTAAACATCAAACAGAAACAGACATTGAATGTGTCTGGCATTGTGTAAAGGAGATAATGCTGAATAAGACAATCTTTGCATTCAAGAAGCCCAGAATTCAAGGAGAAAGGTAGAGAAAAAGGAGTGCATGGTTACTCCATAAAGTATTTTATGAGAGGGATGATAAAGGGGCATATTCAGGGTAAACATAACTATAGAGAATCAGGCAAATCTTTTTGAAGGAGGTGCCTTCAGATCTGACATTTAAAGTCTGATAGTGTGATAGTGAGTGAGGAAAAGATTTCATAGGAAAAGGGGGCATTATGAGTCAAGGCATGGACAAGAGAGGGCATGATTTGTGAAGGGTACCAGACGCATTTTAGTGTTTGAGTCAGGGAATGCAAGAGATGGGGCTGGAGGGCTTAGATGGAATTAGATTGTGGAGTGCCTTGTATTCCCAATTAAAAAGACTGGAATTTGTCTAAGAGGTGATAAATGGGAACATCTAGAGAAAATTAAACCTTGAATAAAATTGCAGTTCTGTGATTAAGAAAAAAAAGTAGAGAGAATAAAGCCTACGTAACAAATAATATCTGCCACGACGCTATAACATATTTGCACAAAGCGGATTGCAATCAAAAGCAAGGCTATGACTGCTTCCATTGAGGGAAGAGGCAGGATAAAAAACAATGCACACACACACACACACACACACATATATACACACACATATATACACACACATATATATTTAGTTACACATATATTTAGTTTGCATCTTAAGGAATATGCAGAAGTTCACCAGCAGGGCATGGATATGGAATTAGGCAAACAAAATGAAAAGAAAAGGGAAAACAAGTAATCATACACAGCACAACAAGGAGGCAACAAGTCCAGTAAGAGGATGGATTTTCCCCACTAACTTTTTGAAACAAGTCTTAGTGGCTAATTAAGCCACTAACGGTCTCCATTTTAGTATGCAGCTCTGTCTTCGTGATGTGAATATACAATGATCATAGTAATAATTCTTTTTTATTTATTACTTGATTGCACTTTGTAAAACTCCAAGTCAACTCCAGAGGATATGGCCTCAGGTTTCCTAGATGACTAAGCTGAAGGGATGAATTTGCATTTAAAATTGTCAAGGCATTTCTGCCAAGGCTTGCCTTCACTGGGTAGCTCACTTGCCTAAAGATTGTTCATTTCAATGTGCTTAAGAGCATCAGAAATTATAATTTGGTTTCATTAAAAAAACCTGAGCTTAGCTAAGCTCCCACTTAGGATAGATAAAAATGGAGGAGCATTGCTTCCGTTCTAACACCAAGAAAAAACAGACTACAAAATCACAAGTTTCTTGAATCCATCAGAAAGCTGGTGTTGCATGGCAATAAAGTAGACTGAAATCTAAAGAAAGATAGGAGTTTCCCGGAAGAGACAGGACATGAGCCCAGGATTACCTGTGGCAGAGCATGAGAGGAAGATACGCCAGGTGCCATAGCAAGCAATAATTCACCTACATTTTTAACACATTCCTAAAGGCTGAGTGCAAGCTAGCATAAGAGAAGTAGAGGATGGAACTCCTGGAAGCCACAGACGCACTGGTATTTCATTCACACTCACAATTTCTTCAAAAACCTTCACTGGATGCTCACCAGAAAGACGCGGACCAGGCAAGAGGCCATCGTGATGCATGTTTAGAAAGATAATTTGCCTATAAAGTTAAACATATGCTTACAATACAACTGAACAATCCTGCTCCTAAGTATTTAACCAAGATAAATGAAGACTTTCATTCACACAGTATCCTATATGTGAATCTTTATAGTGGTTTTATTAATAACTACCCAAAACTGGAAACAGCCTAAATATCCATCAAATAGTAAATTAATAAACAAATTGTGAGACATCCACATATTATTAGTCAGCAGCAAAAAGAAACAAACTTTTGATATAATTCAACAACATGTATGAATCTCACATTCACAATGCTAACTACAAGAAGGTAGAATGGAAAGGCTAGACACTAAAACAATTTCATCTACATTACATTCTGGAAGAGACAAAAGAATAGGGATAGAAAACAGATCAGTGCTTTCCATAGTCTGGAATGGGATTAAGGTGTGACTTCAAAGGAGCACAGACGATTTTTTTGAGATCATTAAACTATTCTGTATTTAGATTGCATTGGCGGTTATGTGAATGTATGCATTTGTCAAAATCATAGAACTGTGCACTAAAAAGGGTGAATTTTACTGTACGTGAATTATATCATAATAAAAATAGAATAATATAATAAAACCTCTTCCTCTTTTACAAGCTGAGCAGTTGTCCCTGGCTTGATGAGCAAGAAGAGAAACATGCAAAGCAATTTTAGTTTTAGAGGTCAACCAAATACCAATGTAACAGTTCTCATCATAATCCTGCTCTCTTTTCTTTAAAACTGAGCTGTAAATGGCTGAACAGTCTATTTGGAAAGCTCAGTTCAAAACAGTAAGTTGAATTGGTTGAGAATGCAGTTTAGGCCTAGATGTTTAAATTTGCAGCAGTGCTCTAGAAATACTCTGAACAAAATACAATATACTCTGAACAAAATATTACATATTGATTATAACAAAAGAAATAAGATTTCTACACTAGTTTTTAATCAGCCTGTTATTTTTAGGACAAATATAATACATTGAATAAGTGCTATTACCATGTAATTTTAGAAAATACTTTTTCATTCCAGTAAGATAAAGTAATATTCAAGCCAAAAATGTGTGTGGTATGTGTGTGTGTGTGTGTGTGTGTGTGTGTGAGATGTGTTTGTGATTAGCTTACATTTTTATAGGCTGCCAACTGGGGCAATATCTCTACTACAGATTAAATTTGCCGTGAAATGCAAAAATAGGCAGTGCCCTTGGCCTCCTCAAAAATAGATACATACGCCATATATAATTTTCTCTTGATTATTATTTTCATGAAGGCAATGCAACCAGGCCTGTTATGAGTGAGAAAAAAAATAAAGATTTAAATAATGCGCTTTCTGTTCAAACACTGAAAGAAATAGTAAATGAATATATTTGGCCCTTGTCTGGCACAGGGGAACACTGTAGCCCACCTGAAATCACAGATGTCATATGGGGAACGAGTATTCTTTCCACAGTCTGACTACTTGGCAGACTCTTCCAGAAGCAGTTGGTGAGACTAGCAGCTCTTGAACTGCCTTGAGGGCTGTCATATGCCTTGATGGTTGTTGAATTAATGGTCCTGTCAGCTCTCCTGACCCCAAAATCTTTAGTTTGCTTAGATCATCAAGCTAAATGAATAACTGAACGAAAATGAAGTAAAATCAAAATAATTTTATGATTTCAGCAGTCTCATGAAATTAAATGACAACCATTCCCAGATTTGATATTTTATGTATGGTGTGTCACAGAGTCAAATAACTGAAAGTGAAAAATTTATCTTGCTATTTAATGTAATCGGGACCATATCTTTGCTCATTTATTGAGCACACACTGTATGCCTGCCATTGTGGTAGGCATTGGGTATACATCAGTGAACAAGGCATGGACCTCGTGCTCAAGAACTCAAAGTCTAATAGACAAGACAGATACGTAACAAAATTGGCGCATCACTGCCTGGTGAAGTTTTATACATATGTGAATAGGAGGCCATGAAACACAAAGGGCAACTAAATCTGCTTCAGGCCACTGGGAAAAGTTCCCCAGAGGTTGGATTTAATTGACCTGAGTCTTAAAGAATAAATATGAATTTGCAGGGTGGAGAAAGGGAAAAAAGTATTTCAGGTAGAAGAAACATGTATAAAGGTAAGTGTGTGGGAAATGACATGATGTACTAGGATAACAGTGAAGTATTAAAAATAACTAAAGAGGAATGCATTGAAGAAAGTTACAAGGTATAAGATTGAAGAGTTAGATATGAATTAAATTGAAAAATGTTGTGTATGTTTATTCTAGACATTGCACTTTTGTTGCAAGGCATAGAGAACCCTATACAGACAGACTGAGGGAAGGATAAAAACAAATCTTTTAGGATGTAAAGACAGAAAACACAGTATAGCCAGACCTCATATATACTGGAAATCCCACAGGAATCTGTATGCTCTCTTCATTGTTCCGTGACCACATGGCCTCTCATTCCTGCTTTTCTCTGCGTTCATTCAATTATTCTC